CTCGAGGATCCCCTCCGGAAGCGGTGCGGGCGCCCGGCTGTGCATCCGCCACAGCCCTTCTGCCCCGGCCCAGCCACCGCCTCTCGCAGGGACCGCCAGGCTCCACACCATTTCAGCGTGCATATTTATCGCTTTCCCCCCACAAGACATGTATTTGAATTTACTCTTGGTAAACATAACCACAGGAGATGCGAATATGTGCCGGGGAAGCATAAATAACTCCACACAGATAGACGCACACACACAGACAGCAAACACAGACACGGTTCACCAAGGGAAACCAAGAAGTGCAGAGCACGCCCTGAGGCTGCCACCAGTCCCGATGGCTTTGCTCTCATCCACCAAGCCGAGAGGATCTCTCCTGCTCTTGCTTTGCAGCAGCTGGTGGGAGAATAAAAGCTGGGGAGGAGGAGTCTGAAGTTGCAAATATCCCATGAAAGCATCATGGCTAGTCCTGGCTCTGCAGTTTCCTGCGATCATGTTCTCCGAGGAATGGTTCCAGTTGTAGGAAGTTGCAAGTCTTTCACAGTGTGAAAGGGCGGAGGGGCATGGGGACCACCGTGAGGGAGGAGCAGCAGGTTGTCTCGCAAGGTCCCAAACGCAGCCAGCCGATAAACCTTCACATGGGAACATCGGGGCTAGATGCTCCATCTAGGTCCTCTTCTGCCCTCTCTAAGGTGCTGATTCTTCTTTAGCCGAGAATAATCTTCAACGGGACATCATGCGAACAAACTCTGCAAAGAACGTGAAAAGATAGGCTGAGGCAGAAGGCACCCATGGTCCCCAACCCAGCGCTCATTCCCTGGAGACAATGTGGAGCCAGGGGGAAACCGATAGCCCGCGCACGCTGCCAGCAGGGCTGCGCCACGCCGCAGCTGGCCCTGGAGAGTTCGTGCAAAATGGCCTTTAGTTATACGGTGATACGATCCCGCTAGCCAGGACCGTTCGTTCCCTGGGACTCCTCCCCAGCCAGCGTACAGCCTTGTTCGCACAAAAAGCTCCTTGGGAGATGCTACGGCAAGCGTTGCCTCCCTTCACTGCACCATAATTTCAGGGCACACCGATTTATTATTTTGGCGGCACAGTCTAACTTCCGAGTAAGCTCATCATTTCAAAGAGACACCAACTTGGGAAATCACGCGAGTTTTGGTGGGTGCTAGATTTTCTGCAGAGAAAAGTTCACTTGGATGGGCGCGGGTCTTGAAGAGACAGGTTAGCTGTAAGGATATATATCCTGGATCTATTTCTTCACCACCTTGCAGCTTGTGAAAGTCAATTACACTTGTTCAAATTGAGTGTAAATGCCATCAAATCTAAATACGTTTTCATTTTCCACTTAAATTGCCCAGGAATTAATAACTCTGCAAAGAGGAGGGCAGTGGAAATTACCCCCTTGACTTCTCCCTTTCCATTGATGGAGCTGTCCTCTGACAACTGAAGCAGTAATTCACAGAGAAAACGATACTGGGATAGCATTTCATGTATTTTAGCTGTCTAACGTAATTCAGCTGTGGGAAACAAGGAGAGCTAGCGTCAGGTAATCAGCCAGTGCATTAGAACAGCAGCAGCTACCAGAGGAGCCGCTGAGCAGATGCTTGTAGTTTTTCTCATTTCAAAGTCCTAGGAAGCTCAGTAATCCTGAGGGTTGAGACTCTTTGTCACGAAGGAGACCCAGGAATGCCTCTGAGCCAAAAAAACCCAGGTCCATTTTATTTTAATTCTATAGTTCCTATGCCTCACCCTTACTGCAAAGGGGAGGCCTGGACTTGCACTAGGAAAACAGAAGCAGCCTGCCACACTCCCACACCTTCCGGCTCTTGGGTCTGGCCAGCCGTCTGATACCAACGCTTCCCTTGTCAGGAACCCTGAACTCTATTGTGAGCTCTGCTAACATTGCTCCCGCCATGGCTAATGGCTAGGAGAGTAGCTTAAACACTCGTAGCTTTTCCAGCTCCTTCTGGCATGGAAAATGTGAGAAGAAATTAATTTTCTGCAGGATTCAACATGACACTTCTAGATGAGCTATCTGCAGTGCCAGTGAGCAAGTTTGGCATGTGACTGTCTTCTGGCATAAAAATAGAGAAACAAATTCTCTATAAACCCAGATAAAAAAGTGACCCAGAGGAACTGATAGATGTAATGCATTCTCCAAACCAACCCAGCCTCCTCATAGCTCTTGCAATAGATTTAGTGGAAAGCAAAATGCCCCATAAAGAGAAGACTGGCACTGCATGTGCGCACCAAAAGCTGCTGCTGTGTGGCAGGGGATAGATAGATCTTATCACACTAGAGATAAGGAGACCTGATTGAAACCGAGATGCAGCAAGACAAGACCCACAAATGAACGCTTCAGATGAAGAATTTCCTACGTGAGCCAATGTTCTCCAGTTTCCTCAGCTGATGAGGAAAAAAATATGTCTTGCTTGTTCGTTTCCCCCTACCTCAGATATCTGGGCCCAGAACACGCAGATCTCTTCCACTTCAGCCTCTGAGCTGAAACTCTGACTCACACCAGAGCAGAGGGACAGGGAGCGTTCATCCCTTCTCACCTTCAAAATCAACACGCCCATCTCCGTTCAGATCCACGTCCCGGATGATCTCTTCGATGTCCCGATGGCCCACCTGCTGCCCTAGAAGCTTCTTCATGGCCTCTCTCAGCTCACTGGTGCTGATCTCCCCATCACCATTGGTGTCAAACTGCAAGCACATGAAAAAAAAACAATAGGGGAAATAGGGTTAAGGGGAATGGAACTTGCTCTGGGTTGGATTCTGTATCATCCCGCTCTTAAGTGCCCTGTTTTCCCTGTATTCCTTCTGTGTCCCTCCTTTTCCTCCTTCAGGCCTCTTTTGGTCTGGATCCAGCCTATCTTTCCTCCTCAGAAACCTCTCATTTCCGCTGTGTCTGCACCAGCTTTCCTCTTCCTTGCCTTTCCCTATCTCAGTGACCTTCTCTGTTCCTGCCTTGTTTCATGCCTGGCTTGGCTTTTTCTCAGGCTTCCACTGGGCTGCTCTCTTCTTCCCGTCTTCTCTTCCCCTGTGGGTGTCCTCTCTTCCCTGTCTCTTGCTGACCTCTCTGAAGGGCCTGCGGCAGGGAGCACTCACCTCTCTGAAGGCATCGCGGAGCTCTTTTACACCAATCATGTCTGCGGTTTCTGCCAGAAGCTTTGGTCCCATCAGCTCAACAAAATCTTCAAAATCCACGTGGCCACCCACTTGGGAAAAGAGGGAAGATCGCGTGTAAGAACTCCGCACCTTAGCCAAGGCCAGCACGCAGGTTCGCACCTCTGCGCGCCCCTCGCACCGGAGGCAGCCACACGCTGCCGGAGAGGGCCTGGCTCTCCAGGAGGCAAAGCAGAGCAGGTGCAGGATAGCGGCAGGAAAAGCAGAGGTAGTTTTACACTGTCTTTGCATTTGCTGAATTGTGGGCTCGGCAGAATGAGCCCAAGCTGTGCCATCCTAGGCTGCCAGGGACGGTCATGCCCTGCGGCATCGCGTACCAGGTATCAGAGGCCTGGCCCCAGAGCAACCCTCTGCTCTACCTGTGTCAAAGGGAGCTGAGGTTCCTGCGCGGCCGGGGGGGCCCTGCGGCACAGGTGGAGCCTTGCACTAATGTTTATCCAACTGTTTATTCATCATATTTATCCTTTTGCTGGTTTGTCCCCTATCTGCAAGTTACCAACGACACTCCAATTCCTAACTGCTTGTCTAATGATAGCCTGGGCACCAGGGTTATCAGCCGTTTTTACGTGTGACTGGTCATGTATGTCACATCTACTTCCCTTCCCTTGACCAGTAACTTGTCCTTTCTACATCAGCATATGTCAGAAATAATATGCAGTAAATATCCCTTTTCCCACCTGGCTGTGGGTAATATCCTGCCCTGCCACAGATAAGCAGTGTCAATAAACGCCGGTGAAATACAAGGGACCCAGACATAGTTACAGTGAACCACAGACACGTTTGCCATTTTTCCATTACCCCAGCAGAAGCTCCCGCCGGACACTGCCGGCACAGGCTCCCCGCTGCCCCTCTCCAGGCGCATGGCAGACACCCAGAGCAGGGTGCATGGCCCCTCTGTCACCCATACGGACCAAACCAGCTCCATCTTCCCCGGCTCTTTCCTCAGTCTGTCACCACTTGGATGCCAGCCTCAATAAGACAACACCCTCTGCCTGTGCATCCATGTCTTAACTACCTACATCAAGGGCAGTTTTACACCTCACGGCACAAACGTGGGGGTAGCCCTTCTACACAGTGCTCCCACTGAGCACAGTCCACACACCCCTTCGTCCGATAAGCAGCAAACAAAAGCTGGGGACCACAAGGGCACAGGAGAGAAGATGGATAGGGAGCAAAAAAGAGAACCAAAAAGGAGGGAAAAAGAAATCAAAGGAAGAGAGAGAGCAGGAGACCGAGAGACCCCAAAACAACGATGCGGAGCACAGCAGCGACAGGGAGGTGCGGCTGGACGATGTTACTCACGGTTCATGTTGATCTGCTGGGAGAGCTCTATGAGCTCCATCTCCGTAGGCATGTAGCCCATGGTTCGCATGCAGTTCCCCAGGTCCCTGCAGTTAATAAACCCATCCTTGTCTTTATCAAACTCCTTAAAGGCTTCTCTTAATTCTGTGGGAGTGGATCCAGAAAGAGCAACATTGTCAGTGACAGCTTGAAATACCTTTTCCAAGAAACCTCCCTAGAGTCAGCAGCACTTTATGAGGCCAGGCTCTCTAAGGTGCTGCCTATTTTCCCAGCAGATCTCCGCAGGAAGAGGCAATGACCAGAGCAATTTTAAGCTCGTCTGTCGGCAGCACTGCTGATCCGTTCCTTAGAGCAAAGCTTGCTCAGACAGCGGAGGCTTTGAACCGTCACAAAATTGAGCTTTCCTGAACTGCACTCCCTGAAGAAACTGGAATGATAAGTCTTCCCAACTCTCACCGCTTCACTGCGCTCTACAGCCCTCAGTGCAGCGGTCAGCAGCTATGGCAGCTCCCCTGGAGCTGCACCCTTGTACTCTACCTATTACTTCACTTATCCTCCCACCTCGAAGAAGCTGGAACGGAAGCAAATTCCCCCACTGTCAGCACTCTTGCAGTTGTTCATATTATTCCTTTTGCTGGGGTTGCCAGGAATTCGTCCAGGAATCACCTCCCTTGAATTGCCCCAAATTATTTGACCCTTTGGGGGCCAACCTGGAATGGCCGGCCAGTAGGTTTTCACTGGGCAGGGAGAAAGATGACACAGAAGGAGCGACAAGTTTTACCTTCAATTTCTTCGGGACGCAGTTCTCTATCCTGCAACGAGAGAACAGACTATGTTAAAGCCATTTGCTTGCCAGGAACATGGTGTCACAATAGCACTTGTTGGTGCATACAGTTCTGGGACGAGCCAGAAAGTGAGAGAAGAAACAAGAAGGTGATGACATGTTTAATACCGTCTACCTGGCGAGGCTGCCCAGCTCTCCTCCCCAGCAGGGAGGGTGGTAGCCTGCACACGTCTCTGTGGAAGGCCCTCTCCATCTTGTCTGCTGGGCAGGGGGACGGCAGATGGGCGCTCCCCAACAAGCAGAAGAGACCTGGGCCAGCACGGGCCGCCTGTGTGGCCTCCCCACCTGACGGAGGAGAGGGTACTGTGAGCATCTCCACGGGCTCCCGCGGCGTTCCCCGGCGGCAGCCCCGGGGAGCGGAGGCTGGCCCTGCAGCGGCGCGGAGCTGCGCTCCGGCTCCAGCTGCGTTCCCTACGGCACCTCCGCCGGCGACATCCGGGTCCAACCAGCTGGAAGCTGCCCCTCTAACCAGCAAGTCTCTGCCGCTGTCTACCTGGATCCCTGCTGGCAGGGCAGGGAAAGCCACGAGCGCTCTCACAGCCAACCTCCCAGGGTCATTTCCTATAGTCAGTCCCCCCAACAAGGCAGGAACTTCCCCCTTCCTCCCAGCCTCGATTCCACATACGAGCATTTCGAAACCAGGCGTGAAGGCAGACACACAACATACACATCATCAAGGTCATCTACAAACAAAACAGGACCAGGATTCACCATGTTCAGGAGACACTGCAACTTCAAACGTCCAATTTGAATTTCTTGGAAGAAGGGGGAGGATGTGAACGAGTATAGGAGAACTCCGGCACTGCACCAACAAGAAGAGATGAGCATGGAAATGCACTGCTTTCTGGTTTAAAGGCCCTTCCTAATTCCTCTCCTGGCTCCCAGGCAAATCCAAAACATCTGAGAATTTGGAAACACAGAAACGCAATCTCTTTGGTCGTCTGACTCTCGGCTCTTCCCCTCAGCCGCGGGGAGCGTCTCCTTGCTTTCCAGGTGCCCCGCAGTCTCGCCGCACGTCCCTGGAGGCAGTGCCCTTGATCGGTTTGAGAAGGATGATCCTTTGCTATGTAACCACAGGCTCCTCTGGGAACTGATGGCGGCTGCTCAGGGCGCGTCGCAAACTAGGACACCCGCTGGCTCGTGTCTGTGCAAAAGTGGGCTGTGCCAGGGCAGTGATCAGCTCGCCACTCGTAACCTTCCCAGAGGCATCTCTGTGCTGGATGAACGGTCAGGGAGTGCTGGCCCTGCCGCTTCATCCTTCACAGACCTGGTATTTTCAAACATGTCATCCCATTTGTTCTGCTTTCATCAACACCGGGTAATAAACCAGTTGAGAGCCTTGAGACCGGACGCAGGAGGCCCTACTGGCCTTGATAACATAACAGACTGAAAAAACACGTGATCGGCACCACCGCCTTGTGCACCTCTTTCCAAAGAGGTGGCAAACGTCAA